CCATGCCAAAATAAGCACAGGGTATTGCACTTAGATTTTGACATCATGGCTTCCAGACAGGATATCTGGAAGTAAATGAAATTGAAAATGCAAATAGAAGCATCTACAATGCAAGTACTCAAATCTTAATGATTTTGTTTAAATTCCAGGTTATTCTGGAATGTGAAAACTTCTTGCTGCTTGGATCCATGACAACTACATAGATGCTATTCACTTATTTGAACAATCTGCACCAATATGGTAAGCCATGTTCCAGAGTCATGGGCCACTTATGTCCTACAATGCATTGGTGGGAAGGGACATGGAACACTTCATGCTTCCTTCTGTCTCAATAACAGCAACATGAAAAGTATTAAACAACATAAAAAAGCAGGATGTAGCGACAATCCTTGATTTATAAACACTGTTGTACACACTAGACAAGTTTCCAAGAATATACCAAAAAGGATGTTGCTAAGCAAAAGTGATGGTAAAAGGAGTATTTAGTTAAGATGCCTGAGTATAATTTGCAGGAATAAGAACAGCTTTCCAAGCTATCACCAAGTAAAAGAGAAGAAAGCACCAAGTACAACAAAAAGAAAATACTTTAAGTATAAACATAAATTGGTTTATGTCTGAGCCTGTCTGACACAGAGAAAATGAGCTACTAATTCAATTGAAATCCAGCTTCTGCACATATTACTGTTAATATCCAGCATTTGATGCTGAGATTTCAGCACTTATTTTAATATTATAGGCAAACAGTTTCAGCAATTCATTGGTTTTCCTTAAAATAAACAAACAGAAACTCTTACCTTTGGATCAAAATCCAGTGACGTACATCACACCACAATGAAATCAATCATCATTTGAGATGATGAAATGGGTAAGCTTACAACTTACCAACAGCTATGACTTGTATCAGCTCTCCTTTTTAGCATTTTCCTTTTAACTTCCAGAGAATTTTAGAAACATGTTTCCTAATAGCCTTAAACACAGAAAACCCAATTACAAACTAATGAAAAACCTATAACTAACCTACTATTTTTGAATCTGTTCAACAGACAGAAGCAATTCAGAATTGACAAGAATGCATTGTACAGGATGCATCTTTTGCATTTTTTAACACCCTTTCAACATACGGCAAGATTCATTTTAATTTCATTCAGGACATGGCACACACAAAGCAAATAAGGACATCTAGTCAAAATCATGCTGTAAGAAAAATTAGAGATCGAAACAAAAATTAAATGAAAAAACCTTTTTTGTAATAAATAATGGCAGCTGTATCAAATAAGAATATAATTAAGTTAAAAAGAGACACAAGAAGAACCCCAATAAAAAGTTGCTTAAAGACAGGAACGCACAATGATTCATTCTTGTCAAGCTTTATTCTTTCTCTACTTAAAATGCATAGAAACACTCTCAACCCTTTGCAACGCTATAATTAGATTGAATAGGGCTATAAATCTCCAAAGTGCTGCACAAACATTAAGGTCTGAAAAGGATGTGGAATGGTAGCATCAAGACAAGTGAAGTGACTTGCTGTAGGGCAACACAGAAGGGCAATGAATCAAAGGATCCAGGCTCTCCTTAGCAATGACTCACACCTGATCTCAGGGCCACCTCATTTTGGTCCTAAATCACAAGCTGCTGAATTCAGCAGAATGCATTTCGTTTTCAGTCATATGTCAGGCTTTAAAAAAATAAAGAAATAAAACAGAAATTAAAAAAAAACATTCTAAATATCACCTGTGGGTCAAACACTATGCATTGTTGTCTTCTCGTCTTTGTATTCTAACAGGGACTGTTTAAGTACCAGTACAGCTGAGGGTACTCTAAAAATTGAAAGGCTAGCAGTGAAATTTTATGAGAGCTTGTCAGAGTTCAACCACAAAACTGATCTGTATAATCATAAGGAATGCGTACACAAAATATACAGCAATGGCCATCAAGTTGCCTTGACAATCCCCTCCAGCCCCATTACCTGTCGATGCTGAATTCAAGATTCAACTAGATGCTTAGATGCTGGGAGAGTTCTGCTGAAAGGGATCTCAAGGCCTTTAAAGAATTTGCTTTTGCAAGACAAGCCTTGCAAGGCTATTCTTGGTAGAGCAAAACCATCTTTGGAATCAAAGCTTGCAGTGTAATCTGCTACCCAAAGTTATAGTTACCCAAGCAGACAGATGCTGAGAAAGAAAGAAGGCATGAGGCACAAGTTCTGGAATCAACGGCAAAATGCATTGACCGTTTCACAGGTGTGAGCTGGACGTGATGGTTAATGTTTGTTACAGGTTTGTGTGTGTGAAGATCCATATGGCCACACCCCCTCCCTCCCTACAAGAAATGCAGAAAATATTATTTTTTATTTTTAAGGAGAAAAAGCATCTACAATGTTTCAGTTTTAACTATATCATTATCTCAAGAATTTATCTCTAAGTTCTTAATAGAAAGCATTTCACTGAATTTTCCATCTTGCCTGAAGCACACACATCTGCAAGAACAGTAGCTTCACCAGGTACCTTGAATGCGAGGTGCAACACCAGAGGCATTTCTTACATTTCAACATTCATAAAAATCCAGAGGAGAAAGTTCTGACAAGCATTTGTTAATGTTTTGACACATGCTATAAATATCCTGGCTGCCAGCAAAGGAAAAAGTAATCCCATAATATTTGAAGAATTTCTGGTTTTATTGTTTAAAGTGTAAACGTTTCACATGAACCCTAATCCACTGTAGCCAGCAAGCTCATTCTCACGTTAAGCAGGTTAGCATTCCAGACCAGCTCAAGGGGATGAGTGTGTTGCTCAAGTGATTTGTTTGAACATTGTCTAAACTAAGAAATTACTACAGAATGAAGAGGAGGATGCTATATTTCCACACTGTTTGCAATAGACCACTTGTACTTCAGATTAACCTACTTGTGTGGACATGAAGAAATCACTCACAAAGCATTGCTTTACTATTGCAGGATCAAGACATTTAAACCAAATCTTTCGAGCAGTCGATGGAGTACAATCTGAAAGGTAAAACTTTTTTTGTTCTCCTAGTGTAGGGTTAAGACTAACTGGCCATTCACTATCACAGCCTCAGTATTCCACAACAGGCAATACCACTGGATTCACTTTCACTATGCAGTACCTTATATTCCAGCGGTGCTTTGTGGCAATGAGCATTAGTGACAGAATAGGTTCTGAACAGTGTTTCTTTCCAATGCCTAACATTTCAGTTGTAACAAATAAAAGCTTGCCCATTTCCACTTTCAATTTTAGAAGAAGTTGAATACTGTAAAAAGAAAATACAGGAACATGGAGTTGTCTCATTTTAAATTAGTTAACAAAGGTGAAAAAATAGGAGAAAACGTGAAAAGGAAGGCAAAAGGTGATGGAAAAAACAAAAAAAAACAAAATGGGGGGGAAAAAAAAAAAAAAAAAAAAAAGTACTTGGGGAAAGAGAACAAACTGGAAAACAAGAGAATTTATTTGGCTTAAGAGGGAAAGGAAAGCACGCTGACATCTAACTGCTTGTCCTATCCAAGAGCTGCAGGTTATTTCATTAACAGATCAAACCTAATATCCTGACAATTTTAAGCATGCTCCATCATCCATTTGTTGTTTTTCTATGTTGTTTCTTTTTGTTATTTTTTTGTTGTTGTTGTTGTTGTTTCCTTTTTCTTTTGTTTTACTAGATTAGAATTACTGAGTCATGCTAACTGCTTAGGGCTTTATCCAATTTTCTTGGTATTAAGAGAGGGTGATACACTGAGCAAGTACACAACCGCTGCAGTGCCTGCCACTAGCAATATTTGGGATGATGTAAACAAACCAAAAGTATTTGAAATATTCAGGACAAAATGATTTTGAGGACATAAAGCTAGAATTGAATACCACAGCTGAGATCACATATCCTACCTGGCCTTAATCCTGCCTAAAGGCATAAATGCAATATCTATTTGAAGCAATCTCCATAGACATCTGAGCCTACTTCCAGAATATTGCTCCCTTAGCTAAAAAACTATTACATACTTAAAGGATAAGGGCCTGCTAAATTCCAGCAGTGTCTCTTTATCTCCACTGCCAGAAACTCAATGGGGAAAATACTAAGAAATAATAATTAAAAAAAAGCTGTTTGTCTATCCACAAAGTTGCTTCACAAACAAACAAAAAAAGTTTTCAATAAGCCAGCATGACAATTCTGTTGGTACAAATTAACTCATATGTAAGTGCACTTACATTTAATCCTTACTTTCATAAGCTTTACTATTTTCTTTCTAAAAGAAAAAAAAAAAAAAAAAAAAAACCATGCAATTCAAAACATGAAGTCTGTACTATCTCTTTCTCTTCCTCTGTGAACAGAATGTGAATAGATCACCTAAATGTTCAGAGCCTTACAACAACATTTGTTAAAGGTTCTGCTATTGATAGCCCCCAGGTTGTTGTTGAAGACCAGTATGCTGTTCCCTGGTTTTTGCATAGAACTTACAGGCAGATAGAGGCAACAGCCTCCAGCAGACAAAGGATGAAACCTAAGATCCAAGAGCTTGATTAATCTTGGTGTAAATGTGCTGCTATGCTACAAGCTAGTGGCAGCTACATGACAGCATCCATGGCATAACTACATAATAAAGCTAGATACTGGCCTGGTTTGCCTAGTTTTTCCCCCAGACTTCATGTCTTTTCCCCAGACTTCAGTGTCAGTAGGCTGTAGCCTTGACATTCACTGCCCAATATTTTTCATTCTTCACAGCAGAATTTCTCATTGATCTGTATACCTGTAACTGACATGATAAAAATGAAATCACTCCAGAAGGTTCAAAAGAGAGAAAGAAAATATTTATTGAGAATCAATCCACATCCAGGAAATGCTCCTGTATTTAAACAAGCTCCAAGTCTTCAGCTGAGTCTGCAAATGAAAGGCTAAGGAAAGTGATTGTTGAGTCAGAAGAGAGAAAATAACAGCTCCACAGCCAGATGTGCTGACATTAAATTCAAGTGAAAGGATTTGTTTGCTCTCCTGTCAGTGCCACAAAGAAAATTGACATGTGCAATTTCTGGTTCCTTCAGACCCAGAAGAAATAAATATTCTGAAAGGCAGATTCTGTCCTTATTTGCATTCTCCATGTCCCCTCTGGTGAGAGTAGAGAAAACTAAGGTCACATCACAGTTATATAACAGCCAGGAGAGAATCTGTTTTGTATTCACACTGCCACGCAGATCCTGAACCGTTAAGGATCTAAGGGACTGCTGGCAAAAAATGCATAGCTAATGATGATGACTATGTTGAAAAATAGTGTATTGTAGCTGAGAATTTGTCCCATCAAATAGTGTTACTGTACTCTTTGTGTCTACTGTTATTTCCATGGAAGTAAATAAGAGGCATTACTTTCAGAGCTGTGTAAATCTGTCAGGAGCTGGATAGAAGCTCAGACCCTGACGTACTGTTGTTTTCCTCAAAAGTACCTTTCTAATCTCAGCACCTGCCTTTTCTAATTTCAGCTAAATCTTAGCTTTCACCACCTGTGCCTTTTAACTATTGCTACCTTTAACATCTCATAGCAACTGTGAAATTTTCCCAGTGCTCATACAAAACACCACAGCTTCTAATGTATTGAAACAGGCAACATGCTCCTATACTGTCTACTCTTTGTGACCTAAATGTATCAAGTCTGTAACATTTTTAAGCCTTTCTTCTTCATTTCATCTTCAATCCAAAGGTCGATAACTTCTGCAGCTATATATGCAGCACTAGAAGCATCTGTAAGAAAGCTATCACAAGAGACCTTTAATTTAGGTCATTTCCTTCATATTTATAAAATAGGTCTGATGGACCCACTGGGAAAAAAAATCTCCAAATTTTGAACAGTGTGCAGCTTCTATGCCAGGAGATACGGTACATACATCAGCTGAGAAAAAAACAAGACTAAAGAACAAGGACATGCATAAAAAACTCCAGAGTTTCCAATGGAAATGATAACTAGTTTTAAATTATTAAACTGAGGGACTCATCAAAACTTAGTACTAGAAGGTCTCCACTGCTTTCAGCATATGATCACAGTACATGGCTGCAGTGTAACAGATTCATGGTCTGCAGGACGTTTAGGGTAGGGAAGAAGTTACAAAGTTACAGAATACTGCAACTGAGGATAGAGCAGCTCAAATTTCAGGTGCTTGATCCTCAGATACAATCGGGAGAACAGGTACTGCAGTGCCTCAAGGACGTCATTGGGTAACATCTTGAACTGAAGATATTTCTCACAAGAACTATGAATAAGCCTTCTGGGAGGATATAGAATAGAAACTGTTCAAGAAGACAGGGAACAGAGAAGTATTTTGGGATATATTCAAATTGTTCCAAAATGTTTAGGAGCAAAAAAACAGTTTTTAACAGATACACTAGGATGATGTGAACACAGAACAAAGTTTCTGAATTATAATATTTTATTTTTACTGCAACATTTTTATAAGCTCCCTTGTTTCCTAAAATAAACTTCAAAAAATGGAACTGGGACATTGATGGCATACATCAATTGCTATGCACTTTCCTTCCTTCACCTACCCAAATTCTCTGCACAATGGTTTCCAGCTGGTCCTTTGAGTAGTCCGGAAGGCAGAAGAGAAACAACCATTTGATTTCATAACCAGAACTTCAGTAGCTCTGTTTCCAGACATAGGAAGAAATAAGACAATTTTACCAGTAAGAAAATTGGTTTCACAGGTATAGAACACAAAAATTTAGACTACTCTGTGTGTGTTCGCTGTTTAAGACCTGCTTATTTATCTATACACATACCTCTCTTTACAATCTAAGCACCCTGCCATGTAATTCCATGTAAGGATTAGGGGCATGACAGTGACAATCTGCTTGCTCTAACTGAATTTGAGCTGGTTTGTAAGAATGAGTAAATGAGAAAAATGAGTCATGTTTTTCTCTTGAAAATGATTCGTTTCATCAAATCTATGAAGCCTATGAAGTATTTGCTCTCCTCAAGAAGGAAAGCCACAGAACAACTGCCCATACAGCTTCTGCTCATAACACTGCTACTCTAGGAGGCCTAGATTCTCTAGCTAACATAAAAAACAACCTATCCTCAGAGCTCACACAGACCCCCATTTCACTGAGCTGTATACTGCATACCACACAAGCCAAAAGCCTTTTAAGTAGTGCCATGGTAATGGTATGTTCTAAGGGATTTAGTATTTCAACTCTGTGACTAGTTGGACTCATTCTAGCACCTCAGCGGCACTTTGGGGAACTATAAATACCCAAACCCAAAGCTGAAATCCACAATCCCTTCTGGATGTCCACAGGTGTCTTTCTAACTAACTAAAGATGTTTTGATGACTGTAGGCAGAGCTCATATCATCTCAACAGGTGTCAGAAAATATCTCCTGCTGAGCTCATCTAGGAACCATAAAATAAGCAGACTATCAGTATCAGGCATGAGGAAAGGCTGTTCAGCCAAATACATGATAGAACAGGGAGTCCAAGAGGAAAAAGGTTTTAATCAAGCGTCTATATGCATGCAAGCCCACAGTAACAGGGCCCCAGCTGGATTCCCACCAGCTGAGAGCTTGTGAACCCTTTATTGTAGGATGCAACTCCACCAAATTTCCTGTGAACTGAAACATTATGGGGCTGCTGAGGCTACAAACCCTGGCAGGAGTATGAAGGCCACATCTCACATAGACTCAGAGCATAATGCTCAACCTAAAACACAGCAGTCACAACAACCTCCAGTCAAAACCACCAGGGAGACAGAGTTTACTTTTACATAGTATCCAAAGGGTTAGCAAATTGCTTCATAAATTAATAAATTATCAGCCCTGGTCCCGTTTAATGCTCAGCCTCAAAGCCATGTCTCACAGCTATCAAAGCCACAGCCCGGACAGCATGCTGTACAGAACGCCCAGTACTTATTCCTAGGGCTATTTCTATTTTCAATGATTTAAAAAGACATTTAGGTACAACTGAGATTTTCAGACCAAGGGATGAAATCCATGAATTCATTCTCCAAAGTACAAAGTTT